GTCGAGGGAGAAATATTTTTCTGGGTAACTCTTATTTTCAGGATATGGCCCATTTCGATCCAGAGCTATGCTCCAGCTGTGCTACAAATGTGTGCTTACGCATATTCATTTTTTTGGGGAAAACTAATGCGTCTTGAAAAGGGTTCAAAAGTCACGTCCTGGAAAGGCATTGCCAAACACATCATTGAAATGTTTTTGAATCATTAATGAGCCATTGATAGACTTTCAGTCATAAATACTTATAGGAGTTATGAAGTTTGACTTTTTTAAATATAGGCGATTTTTCTGGCGCTATGCTGAATATATTAGATCAATTACAACTTAACGACATTCGTTTTTAGAAATGGGTTAATTAAGGAATTCTATATTCAGATCAAAATCTCCCTCATTCTAAAAAAAAAATGATTACGAGAAGTACGGCAAGACTTGGCGGAAATGCGATGCTTCTACGTTTCATTGATACAATCTACATTTCAGCGGACTGAGAGTTGATTTCCCATTGATCATGTTTAAATGTAGATTATTCTCTATAAACCTACGATGCCTTTCTATTCCTTTTGCGGTGAGAATGTTGTTAAGAATGTTCTGGGAATAGGGCATTTCACTAACACAAATATCACTCCTCTCCTAAAAAACTTCTCTCTTGCTTTATTTTAATTCATCTTAAAGAAAATAATATCAAAACCTGATCTCCGGTTCGTCGTTAAAAACCTCAAATGTTACTTATCGAAATTCTCCAGCATCAGTAAAAAAATGTCCCGCATCTTCATCTCCAGCTGTTTGAGCGGGCATTTTTACATCATTTGAGAATGGGAGGTGCTGTGGATCACTTGTTCAAAGGAAACCTTTAAAACCAGGAAAGTACAAGTCTTCACATATCCTACTTTCATTTTCCTAGAATAGCTGAAATGCTGAAGAATTCAATAAAGAGCAAATTTTTGTTGGAATTGAATCCGCTCAACAAATAATACTGTTTTAGAAAATTTACCCAACCGTACTATGTATAGTGACTCAACGCGCCTTTCATAGACAAAGGGAAGAGTAAAGGTTTTCTCAAGGGGCAAACAAACATCTCGGATATTCGAAGAATTTTAATTTTCAGAAGGCAGCGAAAAATCCCGCTTGAAGATACTTGATACACAAAATTGATCTTCAAACACATGAAGGACTGTTTGGGACTTGATACACATACACAGCACCTCACCCTTCCCGGGACTGCTGTGCATTTGAGTTGATTTTCATTTACGCGTTACTTTCTCAGAAAATCCCAACATTCAAGCGTTTCATGTTCAGTGTAAAAGATTCTTCGCTCGACGAGCGGTGACAAATGTTGAAGAGTTGAACAAATGCGGGGATCGATTGAAGCCTCTCGCTAATATATATCCCAGAACTCGGACGTTTTTCGAAATACAGTACGCGGTATTAAATTAAAATACCGCCCTGCGGTTGAATAATGTATTCGCCAGCCCCGATGAGAATTCGGAACCAGAAACCCACCAGCAGCGCACGAACATACAAAGAGAAATTAGCGAAGACCGATCGTGTACTAGAGCCACAATAGCTGCCGCCACGGCGGCGGCGACCAGGAAAACTGCACAGGGCCGCCGGCGGTGGCGGACGTGGCAGTTTCGGGCCGCGAGACCTGAGTGCAAGGCCAGTCTGGTACTTGAGGTCTTTCCCCTTTTCACAAAATGGTGACGCAGACAGCTCCCTCCCTCTGCGAGTTTTAAATCTTGGATGTGTACTGCACTGTAGTCCCATCTACTCGGGATGCGTTTGATGAGCGTGAAAAGGCACTGGAACCTGAATGCTTCAGTATCACATCACATGGAAGGCGGAGAGACAACACATTCACGAGAGCCTTCCTTAGTGATCTTACACTGCACTATACCCGCCAAATCAACATGACCGGATAATTATCGGTACTCTCACATCGGTCCATCCTATTACAGTATTACGGTACTCATTTTATGAGATATTTCAAACAAGTGACAGCGTAGGAATCCATTCTTCAACTTCGTATGCAGTCTGAATAGTCGTTCATTTATTTTTGAACATGTGTTCTTCCTCCACACTGCTTCTCTGTTAGACTTCTATCGTGGGGAGATGAACGTGTCTTTTAAATTATTTCGGATACTTTTCCGCTTTAGAAATTCATAGAACTTTACCGACATTGCAAAACGGAAAAAGGCACTAAGCATTCCGTGACACTGAAGACTGTGGAAAGCACTTTCGGACAGCTTGTATCAGCAATTGTTTTCTCACACGCAAAAAGCCATTCAGAGGATAAAAAAAAAGCAGCAAGAATTCGCAATGCCAAGAGAGTTTATTCTTCACTATATCGAGCTGGAGTCTGGTGATTGTGCTGCATTAAAACATTGTAAATAAATGGACTTCGAACCAACTTGCGTAAGAGAAAAAATCCTTTTAGGTTTGCACTCCTCACAAGAAGCTAAGTTTAAAATGTACTGATGAAAATGCGTGCTCCCATGACCTCTTTTCTGAGATTTCCAATAATTGTTCCAATTTTTAAAGATTAAATCAAATATACGAGTCACATTTCACGCAGTACGGTATTTCGAAAAAATGACCGAATTATAAATTTTTCCAGGAGGAGGGGCTATATGAAAGTGCAAGCAAAAATTTTTATGACATTTTCAGACGCTCACCGCACATTTTTCCATTTTACTGTCGCTGTCTCCGGCTGGAATCAATTTCCGTAACAGTTTTTCCTTCGTCCTCAGAAAAACGTCCTCATATCGCGTCGAACATTGACTTCGTACTTCATTGAAACCTAGATCTCGTATCCTCCACTAGCCTCCAACTGAAGAAAAATTGCAGTACCTGAAGTGCTGTCAGGCTGTTCTGGAGGTCGGACGGCGGCCAAGTACCATAGTACTGCTGGCGATCCGACTTCGCATCACAGCCGAGCTGAGCGGAGTTCATTCCATCAAGTAGAGACCTCCATGGCATGAAAATACGTATACTGTACTTCCTTTTATTTTTTTTTCTGGAACCGACCAATAAATGAGCGCACGGGAAAGAGCAGAGTACTGTACTGTATTACGAAGTACGATTAATCAACTGTATCCGCTTCCAGCCGTAATAAACAGGACTCGAAAAGCATATGTTTCTTACTCATATACAGCATTCTTCAACAAATCAATCGTAGTCTCATAATCATCACTTGTAAACGCGAAATGAGGCGAAGTTCTTATGTTTACCGGGTCTATTTCAGATCCATCTTTTCGCGGAGCAAGCATGAAGTAGGGAAGGGGTTTTTGTTCTGCAGATTTGCAAACTTGAAAAATATTAGAAAACATAAAAATGCTCGAAATGAATGGTGCAACCAATTTAAAATATTTAGGTACTGTACTTCTTATGTTTAAAAAAAATACAGTTTAATTCGGCTGAAAGACACGCCGATATAATGCCTGAAATTCGGGAATGCGGATAGGAATATTATTGAATGTTTTGGAGGCTGGAACTAGTCGAACTATTGATGTTTAGAACTATCTCTGAAAAAGGTCAGGCAAAAAAATTTGAAGACAAGCGAGAGCAAGGATTCAAAATATGATTTTGATCGCTCTACTAATATTGGTTTAAAAAAAAGCGAAATATTTCTACTCAACAAACAATTTTAGGGACGGGATGATGCAGGGCTTTTTTCGGGTATAATTCCTGTAACAGTGTCTAAAAATTGTAGGAGCTTAATTAATGAATACTGTACCATGTTTACTCGAGTAACAGGAGCACCAGTTTTCCAAAAATTCAGACAAAAAACAACCAGTGTATGCGTCATACCAAGATATAAAACATTCTCCATGAAATTTCTGAATTTGAGCGCAAGGGATACTCATTCCATAAAAATTGTGAACGCAAATACTGTATTCACTAACTACAATGCATACAACTTTTCCTTTACTGCCAAACTCATTAATTTCACCTGATAACACTTTAAATTATTTTAACATTTTGGCCCTGAAAAATGGAGGCGTATTTTACGCGAGAATATAGTTTTGCCAGATTTTATTCAAAAAAAATCGACAGTGCGTGGTACTTGAGTGAATATGGCACATATTTTTCAGGTAAACTAGATGGGGCTTGGGTAACTTTTTCTTGAGCAACCCATTTAGTTGACCAGTCAAAATGAAGCATCCGCTAATATTTTGAGTATATCAGGGTTAATGCATGTAGCTGGCATGATGCAGGAACAGTAACATTATTTTCATCAAAATGTAACTGAAGCACATATCCGTAGGTTACTATCAAAAGAAAAATACGTTCAAACATTCGGACTGGAATGCGTGTGATGGTTTACGCTAAAAACATGGAAAATAATAATGCATTTAGAAAATCTTTGAAGATCAGGCGCACACGAGAAGTCAGGCAGATCAGATCATATGAGATCTCTTTCTTACTTTCCCTATGCAGTACAGTAAAGGATTCAAGCTTTTTTTTTTTAATCCGTACTCGTTGCGGCAGCTCTACAGCAAGTTTTCAGAGTTGCTGAAGGCAAACGGAACTCGTCCGTCGCTCAGGGGTCTTGATCACTGTCAGGTATAGGAATAAGATTGGAATTCCGCCGAGTTACGATCCGGCGCAATCTCGTCCACTGCGAACGCTGAGCACATCATTGATTGATTGCCGGTGCTCAGTTGAGACAAGCTCGTCGAGGATACTGGGCAACGCAAATGTAACGGAAAAATCATAACCCAGGTCCTGTCCCAGTACTAAAATCTCTCAGAGTGAATGAACTTCTCGGCCCGCGGAAAAATCTATATTTTTCTAAGCGAGGAAAACATGTGATAACTTCTGATACACAGCAAAATCTAGTCACAATAAAATTTTGGGGACTTCGGAAAAAAGTTCGTTAAACTGAACATTTTTTGACAGATTTTCAAAATTGATGACAGGAAAAAAGTTTCGCATCAGACCATCACATGAGACAGCTTTTCACCTGACTAAAATAGCCAAAATTTAAAATAAAATAAAAACGTCCGAAAAAGAAAATGTTGCGTTATGGAGCTTTTTTGTAATTAAATTTCCTTATAGAAGCCACATGGAAAAATTATTTTATGTTTCTTCTTAGCTTTTTTGTGGACTCTCCTTCCTTGCGCCTGTCGAATTTTCCATTTTTTTGGCTTATGTTATTTAGTTTTGCTTCTAATTATTTTACATTTTCATTTTATTTTTCTGCTGCCGCTGTGCAGGCTTTCTCAACTCAAGGATCCGCGGATAAATAGCCGAAAATGTATGTGAATCAAGCATTCAATTGATCCAATCTTTTCCAAACACGGGTATTCAGGATTACATCAGTCAGAATTGTTATTCCATTTCGCATCTTCTGTGGCATAAGAAAATGCTGAAACGAAAGAAAACGATGCACTCATCAAGAATCCCTTTCAAGAATCCCTTGCCTTCGCGTAAAGTGACTTTTACATACACTTTTTGAGCCCTGGTGTCTTCCAACGAACTCCAAAGCACAGCCGAAGACCACCCCCCAATAACAATTTCCCTAGAAGGCATTCAATCCCTCCCCACTTCTTGAAGCATATCCTTTTCCAACAGTACTTCTTTCGCTGGCGACAATGAAAAAATTCGATCGGTCTACATTAGTCGCGTGACTGCATGAAATTCGCGAGCGTGCATTTTCCGCGGTTTTTGAATCCGCAGCATAACGTGTCACTTCACGCAGGAACCAGAACAATGGCATGCACGTCCAAAAAGAAGAGGAGGACGAGGAAAACCCCCAAGCCCGCAGTGGCGGTCACCAGGCCGACCCAGAGCCAGTTGAGGAGCCAGCAATCGCGGCGCAAGCGGTGAAGCAGCGCCGCAGTCCGCGCGGACGGCGGCGACCCGACCCGACCCGCGCACCCGGTACCCGAACCCACGGCGCCTTGCACGGCCCGAAACCGGTCCTTCATCTTTTCCTTCGTCTCCTCGATCTCGTGAGCCAGCAGCTCAGCGTTGAACGCGTACTCGTAATGCTCTCGTTTAGATCGGTTCTCTGGCACCTGCAAAAGCCGAACCGCACTTGAGCCAGCACTGTATACAGTACTGCTGGTGCCTCGAATCATGAATTTAATATTTTTCGATACGCGATTCGCAGTTTGCGGCGTTTGTTGAAAAAGTGCGGATTTCCCCATAAAAATTTGGGAAATCCTCATAAATCCTACATGTGATATCCCATAGACCTATAACATAAATCCTGTATGTATTTCATGAATCCCATACGTATCACATATAGGATTTATGATGGGACATAAATCCTATGTGCAATAGGATTTATGAGTAGAAAGTGGAAATACTACAAGAATGTGTCGGCTTCGGACATTACAGCGAGTCAAAACACGCGGTTGTCCTTGAAGCATATAGCAAGGACCATTCGTAGAAAATTTCAAGAATTAAGGAAGAGAAGGGGAAAAAAAGATCTGGGAATCTGAGTTCTATTTCTCACGATTTTTTTTCTTCAAATCTAATCACTAGTAGGAAATATTCATGCATGCAGCATGCGAAGACGATCCAATAGTTCGACAGGGTTTTCAGATGGAATGTTTCAACTGACAAGTTGCATCTGGTCCACTCCAGTATTTCATTGATATTTTTTTCACTGAACGCCGCAAAATCCCACTCCTGTAAATGTCAACATGATAAGTGATTGAATACCGTATACAGTACTGCATTCCGGATCGAATTTTCTGTCTCGATATTGCTCCCATCTGAAAGCTTCTCGAAAATGAAATCGTAAGGAAGTTATGTGAATAAGAGAGAAGCCCGTCCGTGGGATGAAAACCACGGCAAGTTATGTACCTATGCCAAAATCATTCGCGAACCTGCACATTTAAAAATGCCGATATTCAGCGAACTCTCGAAATGCAAAAATTTGAGAACCACTATTGCCGCATTAAAACATCTAAACTAAATTAAAAGCTCAGTCGTTTACTTTCAATACCATTAATATATCGTTTTTACAGTACGGAAACCAGTTCAAAATGCTACTTGGTATGCATGTGAAGTGCAGCATTTAAATTGGTACCCGTGCATGACGGGCGAACTGATTTTTTCCAGATCAGATTGTTGAGGGACGGATGAAGTTGTGCTTGGTTCAGTAGTAAATACAATACAGCATGAAAAGGTTTTGTGTAAAAATGGCCATCAAGTTTTGTCGAGAAATAAAATCTTGCAGGAGACTCCCTCTGGAAAGCTCTACTTTGGTCCAACTAATCCTTACCGAAACGAACTAAAACAGCTTCCGGTTCCGGTGTGCGCGTCGGAATGATTAGTTCTACCCCGTCAGCGCTCAGAATTCGCAAATTTTCAAATTTCAGAAATGAATTTACGATCTCAAGTTCGAAAACTTGTGAACTAAAAAATTCGATAAACTTACGACTTGCTTCATTTTCTGAACCAGATTTATATCCATGTTGGAACCCGTGAAATCCTTTTGAATTGAGGGAGCAATCGGCAATTTCCAGTCGTCGAAATCACTGCCGAGAAATGAACATGCTTGTAACAGAGTCAGTCAAACGTTTTCAGCACTAATATATATAACGTCCTCGTCCTGTTCATAAATACTGCATAATTTCATAAATATGCATTTAATCATGATACAGTAATTATCAAGTTTCTGTGAAATTAACGTAGACGCTGCAGGCAATTTTGCCACCCATCCGACATTCATTCAATGGATTAAATCTGGGAAGGTTTATATATGGTTGTCTTTCAAATCTACCACGATAATTATGAGAAGTGCTTGTTCGTTTAAAAAAAATCTTTACGAACGTTTTCAATTCCTACATACACGGATTTAAAATCGTTTTCTAAATTTCATTCCGCTTCTAAGTTGAACAAAATATTTTCGGCTCTAAAAGTGCAGTCCACGATTTCTAGGAACGATTTGTTCTTCGTACTATACCTCCAGCAAGTAAGGACATGAAGTTCTTGCCTATTCTCGGACCCGAATTCTGTCTTAAATTAACTTAACATTTTTCCATTCCTCGAAGCCTCCGGGAAAGCTGTTAAAAATTTAATTCATGTTAAAGTTCATGATGAGCTCTCGGGGCTCCGTGGAGTATCGGTTGAGAAACTGTAGATTAGACCTATTTTCCCCCGATTTCTCTGTACTATTGCCTGTTTTTCACTTGAATGTGGTACATACGCCATTGGTTTTGGGGTACTCCAGTCGTTAGTATTTTTCAAATATTATCATGAACCCAGTTTTCCACGATTTCTTCCATGACACGTCGCCGCAATCAACCACAGATTTGATCGGATTTCAAAGTTTAAATTGCGAAGAGCCGAAACGCACAAGATAACTTTCCCGAAGACGTTGAGAAAGGTATTAATTATGGAAATGTATGTCAGAGTTGTACACTTTTTCACCAGCTACGAGTTGAGCTACGTAAAAAATATTTGCTGATTTAAATAAGCACCGTTTTACCTGACGTATGTATTCGGTCCATGAGACGACGTTCCTTTTCCCATAGAACCCATGCCACCGCCTCTCTTTTCAGTCACTGAAATTAAAATTTAGACACCTTGCTGAATATTACGTCATCGAGGGCTTTCACACTCGTTTTCATCCAGCAGACATTAGTTGAACAATAATAATTAGTATTTTATCAGGAGGTGAACTTCAGAAAATACTGCAAATGTTCACATTTATCATTGGCTGAAAATGTAAACTCAATCGGGCACACTAAATTCCTAATAATGCGGAGATGCGGAAATGCTGAAAACTCAATTTTGGACTTTGTTCATGCGGAACCAGTTCAACAGTCACTCAAAAGGGAAACAATCTATACTTGTGAACTTTTCACGGATTTATTGAACTTCAATGCATACGAAAATGCTGGATTCTACATTTGGTATGCTCCTGGAGTTTCCATAACAATATTAGTATTATTTAACTACGGCATTTATTAAACGTAGTTTATGATTTAAGAATGTGCTCAGTCAAAAAATATTTGTGATTCAGGGGGAATCACTCATGCAAATATGTTGCACAAAAACCGCTACAAATAATAATAATAAAATCCGCCATCGCAGCCTTCATACCTTGTTCACGGCCAACACCACGTTTCCTATTGTAAAATGGATAAATAAAAGTTTCATAGCAAATTTTGTTACACGAAGAACACAGGAATATGAGTTTCCTAATTTTTTCACATAACGACGGGAAAAAATTCATTGGGTCTGAATGTATACAAGCATGCAGAATTGAGGAACTCTTTTTCGGGTTTCATGTGATACAGCAGTTCATGCGATACGCTGCATATCTATGAAGGTTCGATGAGTCATATTTTAGAGATGAACAAACTTTCCCCTTGCGATATGCCAGAAGGTCTGCATAAAATTCAGGTGGTGCATAAAAAGTCAGCCAAGGCTAACGGGAAGTATTTTTTTTTCTCGAAAACAGGAAATCGCGGCAACTGATTCGGGATTGTAACTCATCCATAAGTTCGATTCTATCGCACGTATCCCATCTAGAACACGAAAATTATGCTCAATATACTGGTGACGCAATATTATCTCGTGACTGCAACAATAAAGAAAATTATCTCGTGACTTAAATTATAAGGAAGGAAAAAAAAGAGCTAAAGCAATCCCACCACGGGATCTCGGCCTTCGTGGAATCGGCCCCTCGGGACTACGGGCGAAGAATTAACAATTTAAACTAAGCCAGCTCTCCGGCGAACGTGTCCCATAAACGAAGGTTCTCGCCAGAGAAATCTCGACTGCGGGCAACTACGCACAATCGCCAACTCTGACCCTCATGTAAGATTTACCATTACTCACTGTAGACAGAAAAATCCGAAATCTGGAATCAATCCTGTTAAGCAGTGACACCTGGGAAGAATCAAGCAGCATTTTCCACGCTTTCTCTGCTGGCTGACCACAGCACAGGATCACCACATGTGAACCACCCGGTGAATAAGGCTCTCGAAAAAAATTAATAACTCAGACTGGATCATATCAACATTTTAAAACAAGATCTTGGCATTACTGCCAGTCAAGTTTTATATTTGTTCTCACAAAAAATTCCCACACAGCTGAAGCCTCATAATCTTCAAAAATGAGCTTTTGTTTATTTTTCATACTACATATTTCATGAGATTTCTCGCTAACCAAATGACCAAGGTCTCCCAACATTTCGCAGAGGTTCATTTTCTTAAATTTCCAAGAGTGGGAACACTGTAGTTCCAGGACGGGAAGAGAAGATCTTCGATAACTTTTTACCATGAGACAACCGCGAAAAGGGACATTAGAAACTGCTGGTACTGCATAAGAAGAATCAAAACGCACGGAATTATCATCATACAAGTACATTATATGCGACGGCGAAGGTCATCATGGAACGAATCCGAATTCATGAAGCTCATGAGGTAATTGTATGAGATACTCACTTTTAGGACCCGACTTTTTGCCACCCACGGATGAACTGCTTTTCCCTCAACGATTTTATTCAACATTACACATTTGGACAAACTTTTTTTCTATTTGACGATTGGATGAAAAGGAGAGGCTCCTGATCGGCTCATTCAAGATGCTGGGGAGCAAGGATAACAGGAAGATATCGAAATCTTCCGAGAGCGAGTGCATTGGAGTTACTCAAGTTTCTTTATTTTACACTGAAATTAAGCTTTCAAAATTTCTGGAGTCCGAGACTTGACTCGTCTTCTTCATGCTAACGAAGTCCAATCCCTTTTCGTGGTTTCAAGTTTCAAGTTCCAAACACAACCGTACATAAGCAGCATTCACTGAGAAAAAATTTCAAAGTAGCTGAGATTTCCGCTCGGCATGCAACAGTCCTCGTAAAATTTGATTTTCCTCGACCCGATGATATGGTACAGGTTCGTCTTTCGACACATTGTTCGTGCAATTTACGAAACTGCTGCTGGGCCTCGAAGATACATTTACATCAAATTAGGAGACTGGAATGCACGTAAACCAAGTGCAGGGTACTTTAAAAGCTAAAATTAAAAAGTTTCAAATATTTATGAAAAGATTGAAATTCGAATTTTACGCTTTGAAAACCAATCTTCCGCATCCGATTCTTAAAAACGGTCCAGAATTCAAAATATAGGGCAGGTCATATCCAAGGCTTTTTTTTTAGACATGCAAGTTCATTATAAGAGCCTCATTTCTTTGTGCAGGATTGGGGGGGGGGACGCTGGTTTGTGATATGAAACATGATTTTGCATGAGGCGTTAGCTTCAGGATGCATCAGTACGGTGGATTCAACGGCTCATTTGTTCGGCAGGAAGTCAAGCTTCGGAAACACAGCTTCAGAATCATGACGTCTTCGCTACAGTATTCGAGAACTAATTGCAACCTATTACCTATTCGAGCAGAACCCTGATGTCTCCAAAGAAAAAGTTACCGCCATAATTCGCACGTTGCATCACTGACCGTGAAAAGTTCGCTTCGCCGCCGGAGACCTAAGGGACATGCGTTTACCGCTCCGTATTTCGCCGCCGCGGCGGTGGTCAGACCTGGTCTCCTGCTCGACGCGGATTCCACAGACCTCCGACGCACACAGTTGTCGCCGTCGAGGATCTTTCGAATGCACACGTTGCGAACACTTGGCACCCGCGTGCGCTGATTAAACAAAATACCCACACATGATATGATTAAAACTTGATGTGAAGTGTATAGGGCTTCAAAATTTGGGCATCATTTTTACTTTTTAGGATTGGTATTTATGGCCATTGAAAAACGTATGTGGAAAAACTGATGACTGCTGTTGCAGAAATTCAACGGATAAAATTGGAGTCTGATTCAACAGAAACATGCCAGCAGATCTATCAATTTCAACTTGACCAATTTTTCACTCTAGGCAAAGCTCCTGTCGAGCCCTGCTGGATTCTGTTTATGTTCAATATTTTTATTCCTGCAATAGATCAACTTCAACTTTTAAAGATATTTCAGCCCTAAACTTGAATTCATCAACCTTCACACAAGACTGTTCTTAAAATAATCCTTAAAGAATAAATACAATTTCTAGCAGGTTTGAAATAATGTACAGCATTAAATAGTAAATACGGTTCAACTGCCTCGGCAAATTTTGGGAAATGATTTTAAAATAACAAGATCACTCATAATATTCGAGTTGAAAACACTGTAGAGCATAAATTTTCTCGAAGAAATCGACACTGAAATTCCATTTGAGATTGACTTTACTTTTCAACTATTTTATCTTAAAATACATCGCTCTACGTAAATCCATCTCATTTTTCAGGGCCACCCAGTACATAATAGCCAGCAAAATTCGACCAATCCCCATTTCATGTACAGTATATATTAGAGCCTTCATCACCTGGGCTAATGACAGCAGACTCGTTCTGTAAAATCTATAAGAACCAACACTATTTTTCGCACTGACCTCAAGTAATCAAAATCAACGCGATAAATATAAGTTCAACAGGATAATCAACGAAAAATTAAGAAACCCTCAGAAAAAAGTTTTCTGAGATGGGAAATTATCTTTGTTATACACATTGAGTCATCCTTGCAGCATGCCTCAGTGCGAAGAATGTCGGTTTGTAAAGCAGTACATATTCAATTTGGGGCACAGTCAAATTCCCGGTTAATCGCCACACGGATTATCCAGGCTTTTGGCAAAAACGAAAAAGAAAGCTCGTCATGATTGCACGATGGATATTGGATAAGAAATACGCACCAAACTGCAGGGTCTTTTGATTTTCAGAACCCGGCTTGCAACGTGAAATGGATTCATCGTGAGCGTACACTTGCGTGAATCCCGAAGCGGCCTCAATCCTCATCGCTTGCATCCCGGGGAAGTCCATTTGTTGTACACAATTCGCCGACTCGTTGGACGAGACGCACGATGCCGACTTCCCTAGGACATGAGTAATTTGTGGCGATGACTGGATGCTCAGAAATATTAAGAAAGGACAGTGGAGAAGACATATATGAGTTCAACACTACCGCGCTCCCGCAGTGTATTACAAAAGGACGTCCATACAATCCAGCCGACGATTACTTTATTTTGCGAAGGTGCTGCACGTCACACGCAAATATTACGTTGAAAGGAAGTTGAGTTTAAATTGGAGCCAGCAGAGCGGTGAATATTCAATTTGAATGTTCTCGAGAAACTTCATCATCAAAGTGATTCACGCTATATTGCGCCAATCTCTGATCCTATAGAAGCACACATACTGAAAATCGTCGTTGAATCAATGATGATGTTAACATCTCACAATAAAATACTCATTCCAAGGAAAATTGGCCATCTTCTTCTGAAAAGGGCCCCTTGACTTTCACTGGGTGCAAATTGTGCGAAACCTAATGGGAGAATGTGCCCCGGAAAGCGTCCGAGGAGTGATGGAACGGAATTGAACTTCACATCAAAAGGAAATTATTCAGCGAAACTAAATCGCAAAATGAAAATAGCTTTAAAACTGCAAGCCACAGAAAAAATTGTAATGCACAAAAACATATTTGGCAAAGGATGGTGAGAAATATTAGGGAAATTGAAAATTAACCCCATGCCATTATTGCCATTGAAACCGACATCTCCCAAAAGTTTGACTTGTTATTTATTGCAAGAAAACTTACGATTCACCTTTTCGCCACATAAGAAAAACATAATATTCGACGCACAAAAATTTCAGTTTTTTTTTAACTCGCATGACAAATTTCCAAATACAACACGGTGAAATGAGTGGAAAACTCTGCCCATAACCAGAATGTTTTCACTTCTTATCATGCAGTGTCTCAAAAATCTGAAAAAAAGGCAAATGCTTAAAAAACTAAGGGAAGCATTCTAAAATATTTTGAAGTTTGTAACGTTATCACACATATTCGTCTAATAATAACTAAGAATAAAAAACATTACTCGAATTACTTCGAGAATTCAATTAATTTTCAACATAATGCGCAGCGTTTTTTTTCTTTCTTTCTTACTTATTTGATGATGGAATGAAATTGTAGAAAGTGAATCTCGGTTTCCAAACGCTCACCACATTATTTTAAAAGCAACGAGGTGACCAATTCAAAGAAACAATGGTTTTCCTTACGCTCTGCCATTTTTCGGCTTGCGAGTCCACCTCGCTCATGCACATGAGGTCCTGGAATTTGCGGGACCGAAGTCAGGCTTTCCGAAAAGCATAATTGATAATAATTTTGCATCGAAACACTTTTGCTAGGATCTTCCGTAGTTTCCTTGCAGCTGGCACCTGAAAAAATCGAAATTATCCATGAAACAGCAGCATCGATTTCAAGTGGAACAGAATACTGCAGTCATATATTAACCGCCGCCAACCGCGTCGTGTGTCCAACATTCCTCTTGCGGAAAACTGTGAGTATATCATATTCCAATGTTCAACAATAAAAGCTTTGGTGGAAAGATTTTTACGCAATCCCAGCGCAAGCCTAACTGCCGAATTTTCGGATAAAAATTTTTTTAGGACATTTTCGGCAACGCAAGGATGCTTTTGTTGAAACTGCAAGCTCACCATGACTCTTTCCATTACCCTCATAAACTCGCCTATTCCAACGTCGTAATTGAAGAAAAAACAATACACACCAGAAAAAGCGCTTAGCCGTTGAAGGATTCCATAAGCACAGCCGAATTTCAATTCAGTTCAATTGTTTAAAAGCAAAAATCTCACCGGTATCCGTACGGTGTGCATGGACCGCTTTGGATTTGATTCCATGCACTGCTGGCGATACACGAGACTGGTGTTTCCTACGATCGACATCTTTCCTTTGATATTTTACGGGCAGAGATTGCTGCTGCTTCGCAGCTTTATTCACTGAAAAGCGCGTTATCTTCGAAATTAATGAACTGGGAAGTAAAATGAATTGAATCGCCGTTTATTCAAGACCACTCACCGGCTGCGGGTGCCGCGACGTCTTCGTTCAGGAATTTATGGCTGACATGAGAACGGCTATCGGAAGAACGCTGAAATACGGATTTTATTTCAAGACTTCCGAAAACATTTCAAGATAAAATTACAAATGACGGGTTTAAATTCAAAATGGAGAATAATACACAATCGTGCTGTCAACATACGTTGGACTATGAAGTAGGAGCGTGCAATACGCCTCCTCAATCTTTAAAAAGTTTAAATGCTGTTTGATCCTTAAAAATAATTTAAAAATTATGATTTTGTGACTGGACTGATGCTCGTAAAAGCAAATATTTTACCTCAATATGAAGTCCATTATTTTGTCGGGCCATAATGTACAGTATAAAAATTCGCGGCATGGAGAATATCTTCGAAAAGAAATCATTCGAAAAAGGAAGAGACTACCAGGACAGTTTTATTTTTAACGTACTCCTTACTTCATTCTCGCACTTCATTTCATGACTCACAAATCGCACTTTAGTATAATATGAATGGCAATGATGTTCGCTTTTTTCGACGCTAAATAACTCACCATGTTCTCCGATGTACTCCCCGTAGTACCAGATTTTTCCCGGCTATCGGCAGTCGTGGTGAAATTTGATCGCAAGTCTGAATCGAAGACGGACCTAAGAAATTGTTCAAAATTAATTATCAAGCCAAAACGCAGAGGAGAACCATTTGGTCTGATTGGAGTAGGAATTTCTCGAAATTTGCGTTACGGGATCTTTCTGTCTTTCTTGTGCATACACGACACAATGAAACTCATATTCTGTAGCCATGCCCGTGGCACACGATGTTGACAGGAGAAAATGGTGTAGAACCAACGATTTAATTTTTATATTTTCGATTGCCAATTGACCTGCAGAAACATCTGTCTTCGTGCGTCACATGATTCGATGCTCCGGAGCGCTGTTTTGCACTTGACCATAGCTGCTGGAAAAGGAAGGAACTAATTCCTAAAACTGATATAGATTAGATTGAACTTCCATGAAATAAGTGATTATTTTCTAAATATTGCTCCGAGGAATTTTTCTTTTTTCGGGACAATGGTAACATTGTTCAATTCCTGCGAGAATGGCGATTTGATTCAGAGATCAACTGTAATTGCTCTCTTTTCAAGCAATAAAAACCTGATTGAAAAAAAGTGTTTCCAAGTGAATTCGTTTCTTCAAAAATTAAGCAACTAACATACATCAAAATCGTCCCAAGACGTAGTAAAGAATCTTCCGTATTATTCCATGAAAAAAAAAATTGAGACTAAAATGAAGGAACACGCACGTACAGAACCGCGAAAAAATTGTCTCTAGAATTGGATGTCACTTTGAAAATTTCCTATCAAACTCATTTCAAAACTTGGATGATGCCATCTATCATTCCTGGAAAGAAAAAAATTTTTTTTTAGCAATGGCAGACATTTTTTACAGCGCCTCTTTTGCTGTGCGCAAGGTCCATGCTGTCTTCGTTTCGTTCTCTCCAAGACTGGTTACGTTTTATTATTCTGCAAAAAATCGTATTTTTAACATAAAATACCGCAACGACGAGAACTTCGATTCTCGTTTCGAAAATCGACACACAAGTACAGTAGTGTATAATCCAACTAAGAAGTTTTCGATCTTGACACGCATATTTTTTCCCCTAGCGATTTGTTTTGTACAAGCATATGATGCACCCTCGAACCTCTATGATCTCTGAACAAGGAGTATGTGAACGATCAAATGCAAACCTCGACGCACAGCAGGAACTGACGACGTCATCGCAGTCGACTGCAGGACACGTTTCCACGTAGGAGTCTCCATAGTCCGCACTCCGCTCGACAAATGAAACCCGCTTCTTCGTCGTCGGCGTCGACCGATCAGTGGTGACAGTCTGCTGTGTCAACTACACAATCGCAAAATCGATTCCAGTCACTCAATTCATTTCCCCCATCCGACAGTTGAACACCGATTTTCGTCTAGATAATAATCAAATTTAACGGATAATCGGGCACGGAAAAAGGTTACATTCAGCAGATCAGACAATCTTGAATAAAACATACGCAACATTACCGGAAATCTCGAAGTTCATTAGCTTGGAAAATTGATCAATCCGAGGGAAATATGCTTCGTACATCGTCCCAAGTTAAAATAACCAGTTACGTATCCTTCCCGATCACTGAATAACGATTTTTCACGTTCAATCAGATACCCAGTTCATTTTGTCCAGATAATCGCTATTAATTTTATATTTACTTCAGGCACATTGCCTCGGGATAAAACTATGGACTAAAAATCGGGTCACCTCAGAAATGAAACCTGTCGACGATTTCTGTTCCAAACGAGTCGTGCTGTGCTGGTCGTCGTTGGCACCCGAGAAAGTGGGCATTTATCATAGCGTTGTCAAAAAAAGCCAAGATGTCTGAAATTTCTCACTTTCAAGAGGGTAAATACAACTGAAACGCATGAACATGTGATTACCCCAAGCAAATTCGTTACGAACACAATCGTGGCGCAAATCAACCTAAAACATCGTCTCAAAGTTGGAAGCATTTACAAACAACTGAACACCAATCATCTATTCATTTCGGTAACATAATCAGAAATATCCATGCTCATGACGAATTTAACGCAAGGTTTCCCACATAGTGTTCAGCCAGATGTGCAGTTCAGGCAGTCATTCCGAGCGAATGGAGAAATAAACCTGGGAAAACATTGACTACGAACGAAAAGCAATATACAAGATGCATGAATTAATGCGAAAATATCAAAAGAACTCCGAACATCCACTGAAATTCAATAATTCCAAGCCCGAAGTCGGATTCGTCAGGAAAAAAACTGTTGGTCGTCATGATTTTAATTTTAGCCACTTCATTCGAATCTTACGACGCACTCGATGGCCTAACGCAAATTAAAATTTAGGTAATGTATGTAGAAAGTGTGAAGTAATTTTCAGTTCGGATCATGTGAGTTAATAATGCATTCAATTCGAGCAGTAGGACTTGGAAAAATAGACCATCATTGCCACGTTAACAAAGGATACCTTGGTTTTACAGTCGAAGTTCTGAACATCATCGACTCACAAGACTTGACGAAAGCAAAACGCCTTACTATATAGAAATTGAACTTAGAAAAAGACTCAACAAATAGAATAAATGCTTGTGGAATTCCATGAGATGAATGAATCATCTCGAACTCATTGACGCTAACTTTCAATAGGGTATCGTACCCTATTCATCAACTGTCCGTGGCAGAACAACTCCAAGAAGACAGTCAAGAACGGATCCCTCACAACTGCTTCATCATACATTACAAAGCACGGTAGGATCGAAACGGACGTTCACACGAGGAAGGTTGAAGAAGGATCAAGACACGGATTTCGAAATCCATAAATTTAAGTTTATTGAGACACCCCAAGCTATTCATACAATCGGGTGCACGCATGGAGCTAACAACACGATTTGATCAAGCAACTGAACGAAGCAGAAGGTCTCGAACGCGGCCGCGCGGAACAAGAGATGCCAACATCGTCGAATAATTCGAGTTTGAACAAGTCCGGATGTCGCTCCCTCCTCGCGTTCCCCAGCAGTCGTGAAGACGACCTTCCGTTTGCGTGTCTAGACCAGAACCCAGAGAAACACATTTCTCGCGTTGCGGAGTGAGGAGGGGGGAAATAAAAAAAAACCGCCCCGGCGACGGCAGTGTCCATCAAAAACAACAAGAAGCGGACACATATCGTCCGTACCAGACGGGGAAGATTCACTGCAGACAAATCGTAAGATTCTAGCGAATTCGCAGTCGCACAAAGCTCGTATCAACAACGCATTTACAGCTGGAATAAAAAAAAAGCCACCAATCTAGTCCTAGCAACTGCGCCCCCGTCGGCAGCCGGCGCACCGGCCAGCCGCGGAATCCGACTGTCAATCCACTTCGTCGCGCCGCGAGGGAAAGGACTAAAATAAAAATACTCAACACGGGGAGCGAATCCTTCGATCAAAATTTGCGTTGCGCTTAAAATACATTATCACAAAAAATCCAACGTAGTCGAGAAAAGTGAAAAGCCTTCGAATCAATGACACAAAGATCCCTTCTGCACGTTCCCGCACACGCCAGGAACTCAACCGCGCTAGGATAATACCGAACCAAAAGTAACAGGGGGTATGCGAATCAAGTCGGTTCTCGCTATTCTCCCGTTTCGGACCAACGCTACGCAAGGAACAACGCGGAACACACGGAACGTTCATGAATAAAAGAAAAAAAATCCAAGTCTCAACCAAAAAAATCAGCAGCCCTTGAATCCTTGACCCTCCCCACCTTCTCCGTTTCTTCTTCATCACCGCCTGATCACTACTCCAATTCGCTCTTACACTTTCTCCATTCCTTTCGTCACCCTTCAACCTTCTACCAAGTCATTGCGTAGCATCATCACCACCGAACACCACCACCACAACGCAAGCTTTACCAACAACTTGGACTCAGTGCACCCACAAAAACACGACCAAGAGGAGCGAACAAACCAATTAATCAATCAACCAGCCAACCAACGCAGCAACACGAACACACGCAGAAGTCTTTAACACTAATGATCCACGATTTCCATGCTGTCGGAAAATGCGAAACACATCCCCAGCGCAGGAAAACCGAGGAAGAAAAAACATCCCGAATATAATTTTTGCGCCAGCCACACTTCAAAAATATTAGGGACACCAAAAATTACACCAAAATAGACGAATAGATCACGCCAATGCTAAATACAGGCGAGAATCAGCGAAGCGATTAGCAACCTCCGCGGAATTCCCCTCCGTTCGGAAGGAATTCCTTCCCATTTCGTCTCCACCATTTCAAAATCTCCGTATATAATTTTCATCATCGCATGTCCAAGGCGGTCATCGCTTTTCCTGTAGTTTTTCTTTTCCTTTCAAGCGTCAACTATGTTACTTTACTCAAGTTATCGAATCGTGCGGCGATTTTTCTACTGATCAGTTCGTCATTTCCAATCCCCTACCCACCAACACATATAAAAAAAAAGAAGATCGGATCGCTGCACGGCAAGCGCGTCCTTAACCACAAGGAGACAGATTTAAGCTATTCTTTCACGTCACCGATTCGAAGAATGTTTAGGGCGGTGATTCTTCGCCCGTCCTGGGGCGCTTCGTCTTCGGTGAGCCCACAGACTCGTCCTCGCCGGATGACGGGTGTCCTTTGCGACCCGTCAGTTTCCCGCCGTCCGTTTTCCTCACGTCCTCACCAGATCCTGCTTTCGAACCAGAACCCAGGCCGCAACGAGTGTCCACCAGGGAGGACATTTTCACGTTCGCTACGGCCGCGGCAGTGCGGGATGAGGATCTCAGTTTGGGCTCAGGTTCGCGCTCGCGCTTCCGGCGGTGGGACCCAGAACTGTCTTTCGCCTCACGCTCCGCGTCAACGAGTTCATCTCCAAGCAGTTGCTGCGGTGGTTCTTCGACCTCCGCAACAAGTTGAACCGGGGTCGCGATGGATTCTATGACTGCCTCGGGTTCGGGAGTGTCTAACGGTACGGCCATTGCCGATTCCTCTTCTCCAGCTTCATCCATCTTATCCAATTTCCCATCCCCGGGTTTTGGCCGGGTTGATTGCCCACGGTCCTTGGGCTTCGAAGGTCGTCGCGACCGACGACTCGGCGGTGGCGCAACCGCCGCCGACTGCGCGGACGTCGACGATCGCAACTCGCGTTTCTTCTCACCTGACCCGCGCGAACTGGCGTCGCCATCTTCTACTTCGGGGCCTTGCAGATTTTCCGTCTCCACCGTATCGGTTTTCTGCACTTCGGCGGAGACCGGTGATGGGCTCGGCTTCTTGACTACTTCGGCTGCCGGCTTCCCGGAGTGAGAGCGGGATCGCGATGATCCGCCGCCGCCAACACCCGCACCGCTGTTGTTGCTGCCGCCGTGGTGGTGGTCTCTGGTCTTGTGAGAACTGTGATGGCGAGCTGCGGAGTCCGCGGGTGACACGGTCCCGACACGAGGCGCCGAAGAGCCTGGGGATGCGGCGCTCGCTGGAGAACTACCCGAGGAGGTGGACTGCCCCAGACTGCCTTCTGTCCGACTTGAGTGTCCAGCTGACGTTTTCACTGGCGTCTCGTGAGTCGTCTTCGAACGACGCGACCCAGACACCGACCGCGAGGTCGTTGCTTGTTGCTGCACAGAAAAACAGGCTGTTACTTGCGCAACTCCAACGTGAATACTGCACAGCGAAAAATCCGTCAGCGAAAGTACACGATATTAGGGACGGACGACACCACAAACTCAAGCACGTTCTGGATGAATTCATCTCCGGCGGATCAAAAGTTCCTCAAGTCATCGTTAGTTACCTGTATTTGGTCTAGTTTCATACTTTCATGTTCATGCCACTTTTTCAAGGTTTTCAGGACGCACAATGACGTTGTTCACGAGGTCGAGCCACCAGTAGATCATGAAAATGTTCGAAATTTCCGCAAGGCAAGGTAAAATACAGTACTCGAAAATGAAATTAATAAAGAAAAAATTGACTCCATTTTGAAACTACCAACAACTTGGAAAGATGTTGCAGAATTAAAACTTCAAAATCATTCTTAGCTGGAACTGAGAAAAAAATTAATGCCGAAAAAGTAGTAGAGAATGTTCGAAGACGATTGAAGGTGTAAGTGTCCTCGGAAAGTGAATACTACTCGTCGAATGTTAATCCGGAACAAACATATGAAATACCGTACATTACTCATACCTGTGACGCAAAAGCTTCGGCGAAACCAGGCGGAAATCCTGCCAAAGACGCCGCGGTGAGCCCAGACGACACGAGCGACGTCGGTGCTGAACTGACCGACTTCATATCGCTCGTCATCGAGGAAGCGTACGAGTTTGACGTGGACGCAGTACCTGTTGTAGTCGCGGAACTGAGTCCAGGAAAACCAGCCAAACTACCGATGTTCAAGGGCGGATACATGAAAGCCGCAGGGTTTGGAAACAGGTACGGGAAGGCGGCAGTCGATTGTGACAATGCCGCAGCCGCGGCAGCTGCCTGCTTGCTGTCTTGTCGACTCATCGAAGAACTTGACGAGCTTATTCCTCCCGAACGGCCGCTACGACTCGTAGATCCTTCATCCGAAAAAAAAATCAAATCAAACGAATCAAGAAAAATTCCCCCGTGAACATGATAAAATCAGACACAGGCAAAACTTAGCGATTTAGAGTTGAAGCGGCTGACTGACAATGCATAATAACCTCTACTATCCGTGCTTCAATAAACCCTAAAATTGATCAACTGTGCCTCGAAGGAACAAGTTCGAACATGGACTGACGCTAATAAAAACGTGTAGCTCTTCTTTCATGAGAATTCACGCACGGCGCACAAACCGGCATTCGAAGAAAAATGGCAAGGATATCCGTAAATGATGTTCAGGCATTCAAGATTACAAGAATTAAAAAAAAGGGGTGATCTTCCAGATTATACGGAAGCATTTACTGAATTACTACGTTAATATGTCTTGACAATATACCGTTTTAGTTGATGCTTTCGATTTCTCCTGATTCTCGCTGTCCAGCGGTTTTTTCTGGCCATCCGATTAATTAGAGCCAATTGATTTCCCGAAAAAAAAAAAAAACCGTAAGAAACTAATTCGAAGTTTCGCGTAAAGAAACCGTATGCTACGTTGACTCAAGATCAGATCCATCCATGCAGAAAGCAACGGTCATTCTAGCTTATACCGCATTAGCCGGTATTGCGCTTCAAAATTTTGGCAGTAATTGAAGCAATGAGAATACTGTACAGAATGCCGTTTTACATTCATCAAGATCTAATTTTGAAATGTACTGCTTAACTTGCCAAGTGGAGATCGAAAATCTAAAAGATTTACTTGAGCGTCGATCTGCCGAACCTTTATCTTTCGATGCAGGCTGTGGAGTAGGTGTTAACCCAGGGACCGTGAGCCCTGCAGCGGCAGCCATGGCAGCCATATCGGTGGCCGAAAACGCTGAGTACGGCATGTCCCCTGCACCGAACATGCCTGTCATGCCGAAGGACGCCAGGTTTGCGAAAAGTGGGTTGCTGAGCGCAAGTGGGTTCATCCCGGCTGCGGCGGCAGCAGCCATACCAAGTGGGAAGTTGAGCTGCTGCGCGGCTGCTGCAGCGGCGACGTTCTTGGAAGTAGTGTCCATACCGAACAGGCCTGGAAATGCCACTGCAGCCTGTCCCAATAGGGCTTGCGTCAGATCCGTCTCCTTCGATAACTGCTTAGCCAGGCTCTCAGGCAGCGTCCCTTTGGACTTCATCGCCTCCGCCCACTTCGGGTCCACGTCGTAGGACGGATTCTCCAACAACCATCGCGCCAGATGCTTCAGTTGCGGCGCCTTCTGGCCCACAAGCTAGGTAAAAAGCAGTCGTAAAATCAACCAGTACATCGCTAGCACGTAAATTAGCAACCCTTATCCACTCCCCATATTTTGCTAACACGGGAGGAACGGAGAAGCACATGCACCTTTTTACGACAACCAACGAAGGGTGTCGGATTTCCACACGCAGTTCAATTTTTCCCACTTACGAGAATATCACGTGTACGTAAAGCAGTTTTGAGAAAGAGATCTTCTACGATGCTTGCATAAATAATTTCCTAATTTTTTTAATTATCAACCACCCACTTCTGAAAACTTGAATGACAGAAGAGATTATCAGCTATCAGCGCGAACAATCGCCCCAGAAAAGCGTCAATTCCGAGAGATGCACTCTTCAAGGTTCTCAGAAAGATTTCAGCGCAGCAATGTGCCTAAGAAAAACTGACCCGAACCTTCTCGATTGTTGCGTTAAAATTTCTACCGGTTCGAAAATGGTTTCGACGAGTCTGAGTGGGACATTTCGATGGAAAAGTTTACGAAATGCGAACATTGGCACTCGTAGAATTTTGCGATTCTCAGATCAGAAGTTTCAGCAAAACGCTTATTGAGATTGGTTAAGAAATTGTATTCGTGAACTATGTGTAAAGAATGACCGAATTAGGAATAAGTTTCCTAGCAAGCCGTGGCGAGCTTGTCTTCAACTTCACAAAAAAAAATCAGAAATAGTCGCGAAAAATATGACGCATTTGTGATCACGAAGAGAAAATGAATACATGCTGAGACACGGACACCGCAGATTGGACGAAGAAGAAAAATTCACGAAGATTGAAAAAAAGGGAACGTGTCACAGTGGGATAGTTCACCTTCTTGCCCGTGATACGATGCAAAACTGGGACATTCTCTTCACCGGACATCTTATTCCAATCAAAAGACGTTGACGTCGTGCCCGCATTGGATGAAGACGCAGTTGTCCCAGAGCTTGTGGCAGGGCGAGTAGGGCTGGCATTCAACCTCTGCCTCAAGGCTGAACCATGCGGCTGCTTTTGCGACAGAGAATTACAACTCGAAGCAACGGACTTCGCGATTTTCTGCATATCCCACGGTGACGTGCCCATCTGCTCCAGCCACCGATGTACTTTTGACTCTTTCGAATCCTGTCTGTGCTGGAAATAAGCACTCGATTGCGTGGTCGCAGAAGCGGCGGACGATGTGGAAGTTGATGCCTTCGGTGGAATCGGGGTGATGGTGATATTAGCGCGGCCGAAGTGTGGTAGGCGCTTATCTTTAGAATCTTTGCGACTGCTGGTGCTTGGCTCGCTTGGCTTTTGCTTCAGCGATGCATTCCAGGCTTCCGAGGTATCCGTCAAGCTGAGAGCAGCGCGCGGCTCGTCGTTCTTTTTCCGAGTCAGCTCGACTTCCTCCGTTTTCGAAGAGTCTCCAGCGCCAGAAAATAAGGAGAAGTTGGAGGCGGCTTCGCCCCCGGATCGTGCAGCGGACAAGCCCTTCACAATATTATCGAGCTTTTTGCGCTTGTTCGCTTGGAGTTCGGTAGCCTCCATCTAAGAGGAGAAAAAAAAGATAACGTTAATGACACATATATAATCACGGAGAGATTCAGATTGGAGGACACTTTCGCAAAAGCGAAGCCCGGATCAGGGAATTTATGGAGGAGCGAAACCCGGGGAAAATTTAAATTTGTATCGCTCTGGTATCCAACCCTAAAATTGTTCATCGAGTGAATGCCATTGTATGGACCAGCCAGTGAAAACGCAAGAATACGTCATTGGGGTCCTCAACGGCCTAGTTGGATAATTCACTGACTAGTGTACAGTAAGTTCCGAATGAATCACTCTCATCATCACCCCTTGAGGTCACTCACCACGAAGTGTATTTCTCAAGACTTTTCTGATATGGGTGGAGCAACGGCAAGTACACCAGATTAATTCATCAGTGAAAGGTGATGCCAAGTAAATTCGATATATGTTGGAAACTTGGAATTATCCTAATTCCTCGTCATGTTTTTGCTATTCCTGGTTTTCTCAAGAACCTTCTTTGAGTGCTCATTTTATCAAGCGGAAAAGCGAGGCCGTGAGAAAGGTAGTGTGGAAGGGCAGGTCAACTGATTTAGTGACCTGTTCACGGTCTACCGAGCATTCCGACATTTTCGCTTCCAACGTCTTACTTCATTTTTTGGATATTCTAGGGTAACTAGGCACCGTATTCGATTCATACCAATTGTAAATCTAAATTTATTGTGATGCCTATAAAAACAGAAGATGATTTAATCGTCTCACCTTTCGTTTTTTGATTTTGCTCAGTGTGAGTTCCAAAGAGGAAAGCCCTCCGGATTGCGACCCAGTTTTCTTCGATCGAGCTTGCAAATCTAGAAGAAGATTGTTGTCGCCACCTTCCTCAGCTTGTGATTTCGACGGCCTGTGAAAGCAAGCACGATAAGCGATCCGAAATTTCCGAAAAATGACGCAGAAAAATGCGCTAAATTCCTTACCCTGAAAGATCCATGGGAGACGAGGGGGCTGCGCTCCCAAGCACTTGACCGACGCTCGTGGAACTCGCCGGCGACGGGGACTTGGATGCAGAGGACCATTTGGTCAAATCCATGGATCCCGAACTGGCGTCGAATCCTGGCAATTGCAGAGGCGACGCGCTGACAGTCCTGCGCTGCGTACTACTGCGACTGCTACTAAGGTTGCTCTGACTACGGGACTGGTGCGCTGGTGGTGGCGGCGCCTTCATTAATCCGCTCGCCGCAACAGCCAAATCGACGGAGCTCGTACCTCGACGCAAGGCATTCGACAACACCGACGTCATGTCCTCAGTCGCGTCTCGTTGTGGCTTTGACAAAGTCAAAGATAATGACGGTGGTAAAGTATGCATTTGCAGGAATGCGTTCAGTTTTAACCGCTCGGTTTCGGCTTCCAACAATGCGGCACGTTTCGCATCCGCCGACAACGCGTAACCAGCGTATTTGTTGTTGCTGCTGCTGCTGCTCCCGGACTGCGCCAGAAGTTGTAAACTCGGCGATGCGCGTCCTCCAGCTGTGACGCCGCGCAACGCTTGCGTCAACTGAGACTGCGTCAAATTTCCGCGAGTTTGATCAGAATAACTTGTTCCTTGGCCCAGGAAGTAATGGGAGGCGCTCGACGACGCGGCAGAAATCGGAGTTATTGAAATGGGCGATCCACCGTGAATCAAGCTCGCATCGATTCTCGGCGTCAGCGACGGCGAATGCGCAGGGGAGGATTCGAACATCGAATTAGTAAAAGCGCTGTCGTGGTTCACGGGCATCGGCACAGAGGGCAAGCCCGTGATACTGTCTGGTGTTGACACGCGTTGTCCCCCGACGATAACATCATCCGTGAGTAGTGGGTCAGGTTTCCATGTCGGCCATTTGCCGATCTCCAAGGCCTCCATCAGAGCCTCCACTCGCCACAACGTGACACGGTCCCTCGGCCAACAGATCGGATTGGCGTACGATTGCGAGAGCAAGTGGGCCATAGGACTGTCGGACGGAAACTCCTGAATTGCGGGTCCATCGCGGTAATCCATGAACTTTGAGTAGGGTGAAATGAAGCTTTTCGGGCGCAAACCCGGCGGCAGATCCGGTGGCTGCACGATGGCACTCAAGATTACTTCAGGAGTCAACTCTCTTTTCATGAACTTCAAAATGGGATGACGCTTTATGGCTTCCTTATCGCCGAACAGTGAAGGATCTACTTTCGCTGCTTCATTCTCGTCCTCGTCGTCTTCCTCATCTTCGACTTTCACGACAATATTCCCCGCTTTTGGACTCTCGGCATCTATTGCATGAACAGCGGGCGTTGACAAGGAAACCTCCTTCTCGTCCTTACTTGGGTCTTCAAGCTTGACTTTCTTTTCATCATTATCCTGACACTCCTCCACCTCCGAGATTTCCATTTTTTCTGCCTTTTCGCACGAATGGTCAACACTAGCTAACTCGGTAATGGCATCTGCGGAGACTTCCGGAGCATCGTTCGGTGTTTTCTCCACTTGCTTCGAATCATCAGCGGAGACGGTAGGACAATCGTCCTCATCTTCAGCAGGGGAATGTTGCAGAGGGGATTGACTGGAAATCTCGATATGGCTTGTAGCACGAATTTCACTAAGAGGACCATGGTCAGGTGATGACTCGTCTTTTCTCAAAGACACTGCCTTGTCTCCGTCATCAGAAAATCTCTCCGCCTCGGTCCCTTGCTGATCTTCAACGTTCGTCCCACGTTCTCCGTCTACTGCCTTCTCGGTTTCGGCAAATTCCGTCTTGCGAACGGTTACCCCTTCCTCATCTTCAGGCTCCACAGCAGCAACGTCAGCGTCCATAGATTCGGTCAACTTCGTCGGACTTTTGAGAGATTCTCCGGTTTGTCTTTGCGTTTCCGGCTTGTTTTCGGAAGCCGTTTCCTTCGTCACATCTTCAGAATCGAGCTTTTCGACGCGATGCTCAACTTGCTTTTCTGTTTCTTTGTGGTTCAATTCCGCAGTTATTGCCGAAGAGTCCTCTGAGGCAAGTTTTGCATCACTTGGTTCCTTTTCCGTCGTCTTCTCGGTTTCAATAGTTTTCTTCACAAGCGCGACGTCTTCATCCTGCTTTATCTTTACTGCACGTTTATCCCATGCTCGCTTTTCTTTGTCGTTAGCGAGCGACTCGCCGGTAATGTAACGTTGAACAACGTCCTTGAAAGCCAGGGTCGGATCCGTCACAATGTAGTAATCAGTGCGACTGAAGCCATACCTGCGAAGTCGGAACAGTACGCTCAACAGTACCGCAACAAAAACGGCTTCTCGAAATAAAATGTAGCGATTTTGTTGCACACTCGGTGGAACGTAACAATCCTGGGGTATAAAATGTTTTCCCCCTTCTGGCTGGGATTCATTCATCCCTTCGCTGAAAAGCCATGAGTGAAACATTTTATATGCTCAGCGACGCGAGCAGTCGAAAGGACGGCAATCCAACACAAAAATTGAATAGACATAATTCGAAAACACGGTTTTGAGGAAGGTTTTTTAGAATGGATTGCTAGTTGGGAGTTGCTAGTCCATAGAATGAAGAATTTCATTCCCTGGCGGGTCATTCTCTCCATCAACCGAGTCAGCAGTGGCAGATGAAGTCATTAGACTTCGCAAATGCCTTCTACAGAAAGAACTTATAGAAATTTCTGTGACACATGATCATGAGAAGAGAACCTACGAACTTTCTGAAGAGAACTCCTCCAGACGCATGAAAAAGATGAACAATTACTCAGCTCATCACGTTTCTCCGACTTAATAAGATGGGATTTTTTTAGTACATAAGCAAAATTTCAATAAGAAAGGATAGTCCAATCATACAATTATCGAGATGAGAAGGCTGGAAAAAAAACGCACCTCGCAACCCCGATTAGAAGATCTCGGTCGTGCTTCGCTGGGATCCACCACGACGGAAGAAGAGGCGAAGACGGACATGGCAATTCTATTAGTCGTCTCAGCAAATCTTTACGACTCAGAACGTCTTCACGCAACTTGCTCATCAGATCTAAGCGATTCAGCAGACGCTTGGCTCGGTCCTCTGCGATTGGCTCAATCGTCATTTGCAACAAATCTGGGAGTAATAATCCAGGTGCAATATTCGTATCACATGGGCTTATGAATCAGTGGGTAGATATAATGTACGCGTAATTAACAGTCCATGCTTTCAAGCTCATGAGCGAACACGGACGCCAACTTCGAACGGGGTAACGTATAGTTCGCCCTATCAGGAGAAAGCGGGCATCATTTGTCAATAAAGTGGAGCAGAAAAGCACATTTCGTAGTTTTTAGATGAATTTAGAAGACAAAAAAAAAACCCTAAGGATTCTATCTATATTCTAAACTAATTAATGCTAAAAGATTACACGGTATTTCTTTCGTACACAGCTTTGCAAAGCGGCGACTGTTATGCGAGATTGATAACTCGGCCGTCAGTTAAAAGCTAACGAGAGGCCTTATAAACGCACCTTCTTCTTCGGTCAACTTTTGTCCAGTTACCCTCTTGCACATGGCCAGGAAACCCCGGAGATACTCATTCATCATCTCGTCCGTCTTGCGCTCCAAACCGGCCAAATGCCGAAATCGGTCCCAGTCGTAATTGTTCTTGGACCTAAAATAAAGAGCATTTTGCAGACATGGTTTGAACGCATTATTTGTGCCAACAGCCGACATCAGTCGAGCGGCAAAATGAAATTTGTTACTAAAAACTAGATTACAATCAAGGTGTTAGCTTGTTTTCACGCAGCCGGGGACTCCGGTAAGCAGCGGTGTACGCACATGCTTTGGAATGAGACCAGAAAATGACTCCACAAGGTGGTTGCTTCCGTGAGTTGGAGTTATTTTTAGAATATTGTAGAACGAATTACAGTACAGTACTGTGCTTGATGTTTAAACGGCCGCACAATGCGGATTCGACAGGGCAGTATCCGATTTAAACTCAGGGGACTCACTTGTCATACTCCAAACCGAAAGACGACAGCACACGAAAGAATTCCGTTTCTTCTCGTTTCGTCCAGCGGCGCTGTTGTTCAACGCGTTTTGCTTCCCGTTCTCGGACAAGATTTTCCATCCTTCCCTGCTTTTCCAAGCGCTACAAGTCAGTTTCGATTTCCCCAAGAAATGAAGGCAAAGCCAAGACAAAAGAGCAACAGAACATACGAAAAGAAAAACAGAACAGCAGAAACGAAGGAAGTAAACGCGGTGCAAGGGAGAGAAAACCAAAATCAAGCATCACACGGGTGCATTGCAAAAATCGACTAAGAACCAAATTCAGTACAACAGCAAACGACAGAAGATGACCAAATCTTCTGACTTGAACAGCTCTCCTCTAAATAAAGTTGACACTATTTCAAACAATTTTTCTCAAAACTAGCGTTCAAGAAAAAAAAATATTCAAGTTGGGCAACATAATTCTTATGAATTAAAACCCCCAGGCTTATCTGATATAATTTCTTCTATCAGTTAGGTGAAGTAATCATCGAAAGTTACAGCTACATAAAAAATTAGCCAATCTGGAAGTACTGTACTATGAGAATTCAAAATATCCGTCATCTGGCTGAACGCAAGCAATAGCACACAGCTCTCGTGAATGCAACGTCAAGCAAACCGACGCGAAGTAAAAGCTGATCACACCATAAAAAGCATGCTGCTCGGAAATACCAAATACAGCATAAGCAGTCAACTGAAAACAAACGGAATAAGCGATCATCTCGTTCCCCCTTCCATTGAAAATTAAGCAAGTACAAAGGGGCTCCGAGATGCCAACATGATTACTTCAACTCTTCGAAAATGCCACATGTCGGGGCCCCACATTGTATTGTAGTCCTAGTCTGACCAATTCATTTTACATTATATGTTAAGCAAGACGTTGAATCATCGTTAGTATTTAAAATTAGCGGCTAAATTTTGATTGCATCGACAATCCATCTTTCGATCTCAGAATGATTGGAGCTTTAGATCTACAGAAATTTTTACCGCTTCGAAAATTCAGAAATAACACTATCTCTCGTGCAATCAAGAGGCGAAAGGACGGGTTTACATTTTCCGTTTTGAGATCAAAATTAAATCCATGACTTGAAGGGCCTCACATCGGACGTTTTCTCAGAAAATAATCTGAAAGCTTTTCAGGATACTAACCTTAGCTCTTGCGGCTATCTTCTGCTCTTCCCGTTTGTAGTTGCGCTGGTAGCATGTCACCAGACGACGGAGACGGGTGTTCAGGTCTGCCGACGTAGGCCACTTGATAACTAGCCCCGCAGATCCAGAGGATTCTTCTTTAACCTGCTTCGTTTTCGTCTCTGACGCCCCAACTTCGACTTCGGAGTTCTGGGTTTCCGCCTCCTTGCTTTTTTCGTCATCGTCCTCATCTCTCGGCTCAGGCTCGACTTCCTCGTCGGGAACATCGTCCAAGGCCGCGTCACTGCTCCGCATTTCCTCGAGTAGCTCGTTCGTGTCCGGTGGACCGAGTTTGGACAAGAAGATCAGTGTGGGGTCCAAACGCATAGCGATAAATTTCTCGTATCCATGCTTGTAAGTTCCAATGATCAACGATTTGTCACAGTCTGCATCCCACCATGGCTCAGGGGGAAGATCGCACGGAGGTGGGAATATCGGCACCTCACTATATTACAGAAAAATCAACGGCGAATGAGAAGACATTTCTGGGACGTCGACAAAAACGCAGAATGTGTTAATTTCTTGATACCGAAGACGCGCAAAATACCTTTGACTTTCCATAGCTCATATCATTTGTTATTTCTCCCATAGAATACAAAAAAGTATACGGATTACCAATAATCCCATCAAACTCGTTCAGATTCGAAAAGAATTCAAAGCGGGCATTTTAGCTATCTGACCAAACTTTCCGAAGTTCAAGACTTAAGAAAGTTATCCTAACAGCTGTGCTGTTCACGGTTAATAATTCTGACCGAACTTAAGCGGGGCAAAATCGTGGGCATGAATTGACGGAGACGTTCATAGTGGAAGGCACTTGTCGTTGGTAGTAAGTAGAACATAGCAATAGGATAAAAAGTAGCACGTCGGCTGGTGAGGCGGATTATGATTAGGCGGATTATAATTGCCGACACCAATCTGATGAAACTTATCGATTTGATGACAAGGCCGCAAGATCGCTTCTGCTCCGGCAAATCGAAGAAATTGTGTGCATTCTGTAGACCAATCTATCACCATTGCTGCATTTTACATCCATGAATTTGTTCTCGTTGAGTCTTACTTGAAATAGGGTTCATGTATTTTTAACTTTTTCAACTGTACTGTGCTGTGTTAAAATAAGAAGGACGAAGTTGAGCGGGAAAGGTACATTTTCTTTCCGTTACCTTAATTTCATTAAAAGCGATCGCTCTTAAGCTTTCATAACAGCGAATATATTGAAGGACTCATTTCCGAAAAAAAATCTGCAAGAATATACTCACTGGACCGGCAAAAATTGCTGAATTTCGTTCAGAGCAGGTCCTATGATCTCCTGTTTTATGTAATACAGCAGGCGGATGCGCAGAAGAACTCTGAAAGTACAAAACGTAGTATTAACGCGTGACTTCACGACCTTGAACCATAAACGCGCTTCCTAGGGCTGCCAACGCTACACGACGGACGACTGGAAGTACTTCGGGAGACTTTTGGTTTTTCATACAACACAATACTCGTATTCTATGCAATCTTCACGATGTAATGGGATCTCTTCCTAACGTCGTGAAGGCCATACAAATTTATCCATGAAAATTGTCGTTCCGCGCAACAATCATAACGTACAGAATAAAAATAATTCCGAATCCAGATTCAGGTCTCGATGACTTCGATAACAACTGAGTTCGGAGAAACCAAGGACACTTTCCCTGATATTAACATATAGGCGAGAATATGATCTCTTGACCATTTCCCTTACATGTTCCATGTTTCATCAGGGAACGCGATTTAATGTTTTCCGGTGAAGAACCAAGAAAGGATTATTTGACATAAGAAAGCCGATGATCTTACTTATTCGCTTGGCGATTAAGGTGTCTCTTGTAGGCACCGTCCAAGTAGAACGACGCATCGTAGCGCTCGTCTTGACTCCAGTCTGCGACCCCGGATTCAGCGCCCATTATCGCACTCGTCGAGGGTTTATCCTTTTCTCTATCTTTATCCTTTTTCTTCTTGCTCTTACGCCCACGAGGAACCGGAGACGAAAGGCCGACGTGGTTCCCGCGAATCGGATTTGCATCGTCCGTCTTAGGTGCAATAAGGTCCCAGATGAAAGCCTTGATTTTGTCATCACCACGATACACTTGCAGGCAGTAGAGTACCTACGAGTGAGCAAAAAGTATGATGAATAACACTTGAAACCACCGAAGAAAACCAAAATTTAAAATTAAATTCTTACAATCAAACGAGAACAGTCTTCCAAATCAGATTCAGTCCATATTCTGCGGAAGCCACCCATCGTAACTGCGTCATTCCAACGACCCCATCTAAGTTACACAAACACATGATGTGATATATTCATAACTTCATGTCACCAGTAAATCTCATCGCACCCCCATGTGAGAAGCATCTTTTCCACGGCGATGCAATCACTCTTGGTCCACTTGCTTCCGTAAGACGGGTCTTCTTCATCTCCATGTCGCCCTCTGCGCGGACGCGACGGGCGGCCACGTCGAGCTGAGAAGTTAAGATGAGTAATTGACTATCAATACACGAACTGAAATTCAAGGAACATCATAAGGCTGCATCTCAGTGATTGGGTCGGAGTGATCTACAGAAAATCAAATACGAATCGCTTTCCAGAAAGGTCTGTTTTTTCTTTTCTACTGCACAGCGGTCGCCAGATTTTTATGCTAAATGATTCCCTCGGATTCAGAAGTGACAGAAAGGCTCATTTCTTGCCTACAGGATTTACAGATTGAATTATTAATGGTGCCTACATTTCACACGCATAACTCAACCATCATTCATGAACTATCGTTGGTCCCAATTAGTTAGCAACCCCTACATTCTTGACAAGACCAACAACGGTTACTTACTCGTCATACCACCATCTTCACTGTCAGAAGAAGTTTCAAGCTCGGAGATGTCCATGACGGATTCATCGTTTCCAAAGCGGCGTGTCTGCGTTCTCTTTCTCGGTGTGTCCATGATAAGTTCTTTCTGTAAATCAGAAAAATACAGAAAATGTGCTTCATCAAGTGAATTTGGCTTGAGCTGTGTGCATCAAAACTACCAACCTTATCTATTTCGGTATCGATCTCCGCTTTTCTAGCCCACTTCTGCCAGAAATCAGGATCGTCAACGTCTATATCGGATCTATTTTCCGTGTGGGCAAAGCTAGCTTTGGAGAACGACGAGCCTGAGTCTTGCGCTACCGTGATGACCTAGGAAAATTCGAATAACATACACTAATAAAGCGTCACGCTCGCATACTCGGAATGGGCGATTTACCTGAGTACGACGTTCCAGGATCTGTTCGATGTCTTCTTCGCAAAAGCTGTCCCCAGCGCCGTCGTCATCCATCAATGCGCCATATGCACCTTTGCGCAGTAGTTCTTCGACTTCTTTCTTGGACAAGCCTTGTGATACCTGCGGAAGAACCTCGTCGATCAGTTCACACGCCTTTTTGATCACGTTCCTCAGACTATATCGGATCGTCAATGCATGTAAATGGAAGTCACTAGCGGGGGTACAATGGAGAGAACCCGTTTACTTCAAGTATAATTTCAAACTTTCGACCCTGCTGCAAGGGTCGAAAATGTAGTTCCAAATCTTCACTCAGGTCATCCAGCAATGGGGTTACCTTTCTTCAAAAATACAGGAAGAATCCCAATAATCTCTACAGTTTACACCATTGCTATCCAGCACACGACCGGATCCGGCAGATTTCCAATGTTGCCTGTCAAGGCTCTCCTCAAAATATGGCAATTGAAAGTTTAACCTATTTCTGATCAGAAGAATTTCAAGTTGAAAAAAGACAGGGATGCTTCCCTGGAAGCCTTTCCCAAAATTACGGAACACTGGTGAATATGTTTTGATCTGGAATCTAGTCTAATGAAACGCAAAATCACGGAACCAAGTCAAATTCATTTTCAAAAAGCCATACAAAGAATCTTCAATAAAGGAATAACATTGAAGTATTCAAAATTTTATAAAAACCGTCGAATTGTACATTCTTTTCGAGGTTGAGTTTTCAATAATTCAGGATCTATTTCAGTGAAAAAATTTGCACGCTTCTGGTCTATTAAAAAAATTTGTAGAAGTATTTATCCCTTGTGGCCTGCCTGGGCCCATTAAAAATGTGTGGCCGTCAGCCCCTTTTGACTTGGGCACCCCCACTATACATTTATCCTGGCCCTATTTCGTTCATCATACAGTAGTATTGAGGCGTTTTGATAGATTTTGATTCTCCACGAAGATTTCGAATTTTTACAGCCGTGACGAACATAAAAAAATTCAAAATTCGGAAGGATATTACTCACGTTCTTGCCTCCTTGCTGAGATGTATTCATACTCTGCAAGATAGCTTTGTCGAGCCCGAGTTTAAGAGAAGCGCGATCGAACATCTCCCTCTCGTACGTGTTACGGCAAATCAGGCGGTAAACTTTCACCATCTTTGACTGCCCAATTCGATGGCACCTAGCTTGAGCCTAAAAGTTTTCGTTCGCCAATAAGGGTGGGCCACAATAAGAATACAAATTAAGCTTACTTGAATATCGTTTTGCGGATTCCAATCGGAGTCGAAGATGATTACAGTGTCAGCCGCTGTCAGATTGATACCAAGGCCTCCTGCTTTGGTGCACAGCAAGAATACAAACCTATCCGAGTCAGGCTTGCAGAACCTATCGATGGCAGCCTGACGAATATTGCCACGAATGCGACCATCAATCCGCTCGAACGGATACCTACCAAACCATCGAACGATTAGAATCCACCTCCAAATATTACAGATACCACAAAATCAAACATACTTTTTGAAAATCAGGTATTCTTCCAGAATGTCGAGGCAGCGAACCATTTGGGAGAAAATCAAGACTCTATGACCAGATTGCTTAAGTTTGGCCAGCAATTTATCAACTAGCACAAGTTTTCCCGAACTCTGAATCATGGCCTGGAAGTAAGCATCGTCGTCAGTCGATGGCTTCTTTTCTCGGCGCCATTCATCCAAAATTTGCTCTTCCGCGCCTGAAAAATATCAGAAAAGTTTGTAAATTGATTCATTCATCACAAGTACTATGACGCAATCACGCCAGTTCAAGAAAATACCATTGATGAGATATGGATGAATGCAGCACTTCCGTAATTCCATCATCGTGTTCATCAAATTCGGCACATTTCCACCGGATGATCCTTTTGAAAGGAAAGTGAAGTTGCGTTCCAGAATAGCTCTGTAGTATTTCTTCTGCATGTTGGTCAGTTCCACCTGAAAGCGAGCGTATTATTCCAAGATGAATCCAGATGCACCAGTAAACTTCCGAATTACCTCAATAATTGTTTCCTCTTTTGGCGCAATCGACTTCTCAACATCGCCTTTTAATCTTCTCAACATCATGGGCTTCAAAAGAGCATGTAATTTTTGAACCTGTTCGTCAGTTTTCAGTTCCCCAAAATCTTTCAAGAAGTCTTCAGACGAGGTGAACTGAGTTGGTTCCAAGAAATTCAGCAACGAGAATAACTCCATTATACTATTTTGTAATGGTGTTCCTGACAGCAGAACTCGATGATCCTGGAAGATTATGAATTCTTCAGTAACGAAGTGGCTTCAAAAAATCAGCCGAACACTCACCAGCTTGAGCAGACGCAATCCTTCCAGGAGCTTGCAGTTTTTGTTTTTCAATCGATGAGCTTCGTCAATCACGCAGCACCTCCAGGGTATTTCTCTCAACTCCAGACAGTCCGAAATAACAATTTCGAACGTTGTTATCAAGCTTTCGAATTTGTACATTCCTTCAATGCGATTCCCATGCTTATCGCGGTAATACATCTCGTACTCCATGATCATGCTTCTGCTAGCCGAACTGAAAAAAAAAAGATCAACTTGATATCTTGCGAATAACGGGATGATATGAGCGCGGGAATTCATGAAATTTGATGCCATCCGCTTTCGTTTCATAGGAATAGAATTCATCAGCGAACCAAGAAGTGTCGTAATGAAAGTACCTTCCATGGTACACTATCACATTAATATCCGTCCAGGTTTCAAACTCCCGTTGCCAGTTGGGTATTGTCGAGAGCGGAGCGATGATTAGGTACGGGCCTTTCACACCAGAATTGTGCACCGATTGTAGAAATGTGATCGACTGGATGGTCTTCCCCAAACCCATTTCATCAGCAAGGATGCAGTTGCGACTAAAATGAAGTATTTTAAAATATCGTCAAAACTCTGCAGTTTCAAGAAGAAATTGCATACTCACGAATTGTACCACGAGAAAAGCAACCAATTGATGCCTTCCAACTGATATTCTCTCAAGCGATTACCGCTCTTGTAAACGGGACTTTCATCCAACTTTTTCCAATCATCCGGTTTCGGCTTCCGGTGTTGCGGCTGAGGAAACGAATCAAAATGCGTAGGTACACGGAGCTTTCCGAATAAGTTCCAAATAATTTGAGAAAGGAAATCGAATTTGTGAGTACGATCGTTGAAAGTTTAATCCGGGAGGATCATTCAATACAAAACTCTATGCGATGATAAATCTTACGTAAGATTCGAAGTAAATGAGAACTTCATGCATCAATTTAGGCTTCCAATAATAATAGATGGCTTGAAATACCTTGTGCTTCGGGGGGTCTTTGAAGTCCAAGAACTGTTTGATTTTGTTAGGATCAACATCATCTTCCAGTTCCCAAGTAGAGTCTTCGTACGGCAGGGATCGCCATTTGACGAGATAGTGCTTCACCGTGTCCCCCGTATTGGGATCAGTGTACACTGACATGTCAAGCACTCGATCTACTTCAACGTAGTCGGGATTGAATGGTTCTTCATCCAACTGTTGAGGAATATCGTAAATGAATAAAATCAACGCTAACGTATACCAAGGTTTTTCACATCTTGCGCCAGGATACTGTACATAATAAATGAAAAAATCATTTCAAGTTCAACGCGTTTTAGAAAATTAGCGAAAAAATAGAAATTACTGTAATTAATTATCAATTAATTTTAACAGCTAGCGGAGCGAACAAGAACTGGCAGGCGGCGCGGAACAATGTAAACGGCCCATGTAGTTGTTCAAACGCAAATTATCGAAAACAGAGTTACAGTATTTCAGAAACAGAAGTACCGTAACAACAATGCATTAACAAACGAAACTGATCGTGTTGAAACTTTCCGAAAATATTCAGGTCAAATTCTTTCTTTTCAACTTACGAAATCAAATATGTTGTGTGCGCTCGCCATCTTCTGGTGAAATCTTTTGATCTTTTGCGCGACCCTTTTGTCACCCTTGCAAAGTTCCTCTTCGGTTTTCCACTCGCAATGAATGTAAGAAAAGTTCTTGTACTTGACCAAATACTCCTCAACAGCCAGCATCTTGGGTTCTTTCTGAGATTTCGCTTTTGCCGCTACAGTTTGATCAGGGTTTGGTTGAGATTCTGCAGGCGCATTTGAGATCCCATTTCCTCCTTCGTCTTCGGCAGTAGGTTCCACGTCAGCTTTTTGTTCATCTTCAGCCTCTACCGTGACAGCATCAGCGCTTTCCACCGAAGCGTTGCATAGGACGTCTGGCACATCCGTATCTCTCGTAACGGTAGGGGTCACTTCCGAGGCTTCCGACTTCGAAGATTCGGCTTCACCGACGGGTTCCTGCTCCTCGGTTGTTTCCGGCTTCACCGATTCTTCGTCACTTGGCTTCGTCGCCTCAGATTGATTTATCTCAGAACTTGTCGTAGTTTCACCTCCTTTTTCATCAGTTGACGGTTTCTTCTCGTCCCCATCGTCCTCTTCGTCCGAGTCGATTTCACGTTTACCCATCCGCATAGCAAGGATGAGTTGAACAACCATTGAATCCTCCGCAGTTGGATTCTGGAGAAGCCAACAAAGCATTGCGAAATACAATTTTTAGCACTTTTTTTTCTTGCGTGGTCTTATCAAGCGGTTTCCGAGGACCGGTTGAGTTCAAAGATAGTTTTCAGTACACGTAATCTAGCACAGGATTAAATTAAATGTACAAAAGCGACAAATACAGATAAATCACAACATAAGGAAAACTAAGTTTTCAGTTCAAGAGGAAAACGGGTTTCAAAACTTACGATATAAGCGTATAACGGTTTATGCAGCATCAATTGTTCCTCGTCATCATCATCTTTGGCTTTTGAAGTGCTTTGTTTTGGAACCGAAACCAGCTCATTCCCGTCAGCATCCACTTCAGGCACCGCGGGCTTTTGTCCTCCGGACTCATCGTCAGATATATTCAGCTCAATGTCATCCACGTACTTCTTCCGCTTCGTGTGCCTAGCTGACCGTCGCTTCAATCCAAAAATATTCATGGAATCGGAGAACACAAAATCCGCGACTCATTTGAAGAATCGAGTGAAAATGCTGCATTAAC